TAACCGGTGGTGCAAATCCCGTCCGGGTCGCACAAGGGCTGCTGCAGGTGCATCATGGTTTACATGAGCGGGAGGGGGATTTCCGCCATTTTTGGTGCCAGCAGGGCACATAGGGGTATTTTTGGAATCGGGGCGACGAGACAAGATGAATGGACCTGGTCCCGACCCCATCGGCCGCTTTTACCAGTTGGCCAGATCAGGAACTTCAAAAAAGGGGGTCGACCGACTAAAAAAAATTATTGCAGATTTCGATTGGTCTCAGCAAGACCTTTTCAACGAGGGGTCGGAAAGGGGGTCCAAGAGCCCGACTTTGTCTATTAGTCACATCAGGATCTTGAAAAAAGGGGGTCGACCGACTGAAAATTTTTACTTAAGTTTTGGATAGGTCTTGGCAAGACCTCTTCAACGAGGGGTCAGAAGGGGGGTCCAGGCGCCCGCCTTCATGAGTTATGGGAAAGAGTGCGACGGACTCGTTTTGAGCTCCTGCTGTGCCTCTATTGCAAGGAGTTGCAGAAGCATGGCAAATACGGGTATCTTCGGAATGAGGGCGAAGAGACAAATGAAATGGGCATATTCTAAGGACAGTTGGAGTAAAAAGTGTAAGGACTATTGCATATTGTGAATAGAAGGGCGGGCCTAAGTCACGATGGTACATCGATAACTTTGCTTTACCCGCTCACGGTGTGCGTGATGCGAGCGGGCCGAAGGCCCGGGCCTTCGACTGGCCAAGTTGGGTCTGATGCGAGGGCCAAAGGCCCGAGAAAAGGCCGCCGGCAGGCCAAGCTGGGCCGGCCCCCTGTCGAACCGAGTTGCCGGCGCAGCGAAGCGGAGCTGGCAACTCGGTTCGACGGAAGGGCGGGCCCTAGCTTGTTTTCGTTTGTGAATGTTCTCCTTGGTACTTTTCTTTAAAAGAACAGTCCCCGAAAATTTTGACTTTTCGTACACTGACAAATAGGGTGCTGCGAAAAACACTTTTTTCCGAACAGGGGCCAATATGAACGATTTTAAAGATCACCCCGGCCCCCCAGCCTCGACAAGTTAAAAAGTGACAAGGGTCAAGATCGTGTTATGTGTAGATAAAACAACTCCATTTGGAGCGAAGGGGGTCTGGGGGGCGGAGCCCCCCAGCATTCAACAAGTTTAAAAATAACTGACCAAGGACAAGCCATTGCCTGCCGCAGGCAGGCTAGCGCCACAGGCCAAGGTAGGTACGCCAGGCGTGGTTTGGAGGAACAGGCAGCGAGACATCGCGAAGCCTGTTACGACAAGACGCTGTCTGGCGTAAACCTACCTTTGTTTTAACACGTTGCTCTCGGTTGTGGTTCATGCGAAAGCTACGTCAAATTAATTACATTTCGGCGCAATGGGGTTCCGATACCTTCAGATTTGTGGACTGACATTTTGGGACTTCTACCGGTTGGATGTTTGGCAAAACTAGTATGATTGGCAAGTGCGCCACTCCTGACGTCCAGTCGACGCTATTCTGCGCTCAACGCTTCTTGTCTTTTGGTCTTTAGACAGTTAAGTTATGAACTAGGAAAAACACGTATTGATGACATTGCACAAGTCAGTTTACAGCCGTTTTCCGTGTCATGTCCCTCTTTAAAGTGCAATTTCAAAAACCTAGACATTTAAATATACGCCTATCCTTGCAAATGTCTTAGTTTCAAACACCTCACGCCAGAATTCTTTATGATTCCTTGTCATGTTTTCGTTTTCACTGTTTAGAAACCGATAAAAACCAAACAAAGTGGAACGAATACGGTCAGTATCAGGGGTGCTGTCCCCACCGAAAAAACATCTGCTTTCATCCCATTGGCGACTACCTGTAAGAGAGGAAAAAATTATCTCAATATAAAAATCTAAAGAGTCTGAGGGGTGTTCTCAAAAGTATACAACACGTCAGGATGACCCAGAGGACGAAAACACGCTGACAATTTGCACTTGAAACCCCAAACAAATTTGTAGCATGTTACAAAAAAAGGTAAACATTTGTTTTTCTTAAACTGAAAAGGCCGCTCACCAGGGGCGGTAACACTACAAAGCAGGAGTGAGGCGAAGCTCCCGCTTTCTGCAGGGGTCAAGGACTTCTCCGAGATTATTAAAACAAGGCCATTGTTTTCAAAACGCTTTTCACAGGTCGGAAGACATAAATTTAGGGTGCATTAGACGCATTTACCTTCCTAAGGTTTTTTGCAGATGATACCTTTACTTAAAAACAACCTAAAACTACAACTACAAGACACATAAAAATGTCAGCTAGCTTCTCTCGGAGTCCAAAAACCCAAATGCGTATCCCAATAATAATGGTGGTGGCTGCCGGGGGGGGGGATGGGGCTTTGGCTGGGGCTGTGCACAGTGGGCTGAGATCCGTAAAAAAGACATTTAATACCATTTTTTTAAAATCGTTTTTTGGATTGGCTGTGTGTGAGTTAATGTTCAGAAAGGTCCATCTTGAAGAAAATGGACATGCCAGCCCAAAAACCTAGCCGTATCACAGTGAAAACACCCGCGAAAACTTGGTTTTTTACGGTTACCGAGCTAGTGCCGCGGAGCACAAAAATTGCACATTCCCCAAAACCCCCTTTTCCCACCAGCCAGGGAAATTTTTTTTCCCGGTTTTCGGCAGAATCTATTGTTTGGGTATGCAACTCGAGATGAAGACAGAATGTGGACTCATTTTGGCCTGGGTGGCGTGAGAAGACACATATTTTTAAATTTAGGTAAATATGCGAATTTTTATTTATTCCCAATATTCAATTTGAGTTTCCAAGCGACTCCTTCGTGTCCCGAAAGAGATCTATACGCCAAAATGTTCCTTGGACCTTCCTCTACAAGATCCAAATTCTATCAAAGGCTCATCGAGGCTCCTCTCGGATTGCGACGCGTCGAAAGCTAGCTCTGTTCGTCATTTCGCCGCGCCACCGCAACGACAGGTGGCGCTGTTGACGCTGCTGCTTGCGCGCGCCACTGCTACCGCGTCGCCGCAAAAATCAGGAAGTAACGCGCGCATATCTCTGCAAGTTTCTAGGGTATAAGATTTGCATGCAGTGACTGGACTGGACATGGACAGGTATGTTTGAGTGTTTACGTGAGACATATCCGTGCGTACTCGCTCTGCCATCGCATCGACAATTTCATTAGACAAGTTTAAACTTTCTGGCAGTGCTGTGGTTGAGTTTATTTAGTGTGTCTAGCGATGGCATGTGTAACCCACTGTAAACACCAAAAAGTTTGTTTGAAAACGGCAAAAAGGTTAGAAAACACGAAGTAAGAAACACGGACTTTTTAAAAAAATTTCAGGCTGTTACGGTTGTTACGGATATTACGCATGTTTCGCAGGAGTTTGGGGGTGAGGGTGGAGACTTGTGGGGATTCTATTAGTCTTGCACTTCCTGTTCGACAAATTTTACATAGGATGTTACTGTTTAGTAGGGTAGCTAGGACATGACCCAAGTTTCTCGCCTGGAGCTGTCCCAAATTACTTTTGTTGTTATTTTTTATTTTTTTGTTGATTTCTTTTTGTTTTTATTTTTTCCTTGCGATGAACTTATTTTGACTTGTCCTTGGCTACCAATTGATAATGTGGTGTTAAAAAAAATTTATGAACACTTTTTGGTCTTATTTGATGAAACCCGTCCTCTAAAAATTTTAGACACATAGTCAGATCGATAGAGCGGCTCAAGACGAATCGATTGGTACTAGTTTGACTGCTGTAGCACAATCCGTTTGGCCACAGTCGAATTAAATGTCACAATTCGCTCCCTCAGCCCACTGTGCTGTGCCTGCCCGCGCCGCCGCAGCCTGCGCGGAATTCGACAATGGCACCCCCTTCTGGCGCGCGACGGCCGCCGGGCCTTGGGGTGATAAAAAAAATGAAGTTGCTCGGATCGTTCAACGCCGCTCGGATTTGGATTCTACATCGAAAAGAATGAAATACCTGCTTTTTTCCTTTTTCGAAAAAATGATTTTTAGGACCTCCGCAGAGCCCTCAAAGTTTTTAACAGTGCTATTAATAGGGTATTTTAACGAATCCCTGGCCCGGAAGTCAAAGAACAAAAGTAAGAACCAAAACGGCTTCTGCGCATGCGCAGACGGTGCCCCAGAGTGGAGGGGGAGGTGTGCGCATGCGCAGAAGCGGTTTTGGTTCTTACTTTTGTTCTTTGACTTCCGGGCCAGGGATTCCTTAAAATACCCTATAGGAAAAAATCGTAACTTGGTCACTTTTAGACCGATTTTCAAAAACGAAACTGGAATTTGTTCGTTTTTAAATGCTGACTGCGAAAAAAATGCTAAACCCTCTTTTTGGTTTGCTTAACTTTCAGGGGCAAAAAATGACTTAATTTCGGCCCAAATTGGCAAGAGTTTCAGTTTGTAAGGGAGAGTGGGGTAATTCCGGACGCTTTTTTTCTTTTTGCTCTTTGAGCTTGAATATTCTTCTTTGGTCAAATGTAATTACAGAAGAGTAAAGTATGGACCTTTACCTCAACTGATAT